TTTGCGTTTGTAATTTGTTATTTTGTTTTCAGAATTGTGATTTGTTTTGCACTTCTCGGCCACCGTAGACAGGAGATGGAAGATGAGGCAGATGAGATGGCGAGGGCCACACAGACACAGGGAGATCATGCTGGAATAAACGAAAGAACTGGAAGTCTGCAGCGTAGTACACACATATGAGGCCAGACCGTGAGTGTGAGAGAAGATTAAATAGTGTCCTTGATGAGTGACAGGTGCATATGATTAGTCTGTGGCAGAGTGATGGCGGTGAAGGGTGAACAGGGTGAATCCGGGACAGTTAACCTGTATATTGCATTTTATTTCACATAACATTAGAATTTAACCTTTTTACTAAAGTTTTTAAAAAACATATATCACACCAATATGAATACAAATTCTTGGGACTTGTCACATTTGTTTTAAAGGGGTCCTATTATGCTTTTTCACTTTTTCAACTTTAGTTTGTCTGTAATGTTGCTGTTTGAGCATAAAAAAGATCTGCATTATACAGGAACTATTGGAGCCGTTCATGCCAGACTGGGGAGAGAGGTGTTGCAATAATGTAAAATATGTGAAAAATAATGTGTTTTTCGAACAACCTAGTATGAGAGCCTGTTCTAGTACACCCCCAAAACAAAATAAAGACTTTGTAAAAGAGCATAATAGGACCCCTTTAAATAAGATTTTCCAAAGGATTTTTCTTTACTTTATCAGGGACTCAAATACTTCCTGATTAATTGCTACAAAAGCTGATATCTGGTGCATATTATAACCTAAAGCAAAAATAAACACATTTAATAATAAAACAGTTGTTGAAACTATAAAGCTAGTGTGCAGGTTTTCTGTGCTAGTTGGTGATTATTTGAGTACAGATGAATGACTCTGGAGAACCCTTGCGGTGTTGCATCTGCATGGCACCTCTTCGTCATGGTGACAGATCTGCTTGAGGGAACCACAGGCAATCTAGGAAAAGATTGATCTTCCATATTCCATTGGGCTGATAACGGAGACATTTATTTATTTGATTTATACCAGTGTATCAATCATGCAAATGGAAAAGATTAGTTTGTATGTGACTGTTTGTTGTGTGTGATTGTGTGCGGTGTGCAGGATTTTCTGTGATTAATTGGCCCATCCAGTGGGTTCCTTCATCACAGATACAGCACTCTCCCCTCACTTCTCTTTAATGCAAACACTCAGTGAATCGGTTCTAGGTGGACTGTTGAAGCCTAAGAAATTGTTTGTGTGTTGTAAGATTAATTTGAGCTGCCAAGAAAAATAAAAACACAAAGATATTCCAGTCAGTAGTGCTTTAAGAACTGGGTTATTCAAGCAGTACTCTTAAGGGAGCCAAAGTAAGCAAATAAAGAATACTATGTGGAACACACACTAGCAAACCATGCACAAATGCAGATAGATGAATAAAAAGCCTTTTAGATCAGTGTCATGTGCATGAATGAAGTTCATAGGGTTATTTGCTGTGTTTGCCTGAAATAAATGTCCTCATTCATGAAAGTGATGTGGATTTTTCCCTTTGTCATGATCAGTAGCCCTTGAGAAAACATAAATGGGCAAAGACTGTGATTACTGAGTGTGATCTGTGATTACATGCACAAGATTATTCGGTTACACTTTATTTTAAGGTGTCCTTGTTACAGTGTAATTATACATTTAAATACTGAGTAATATTAACTAACTACATGCACTTACTATATGGTTAGGTTTAAGATTAGGTTTAGGGTTACTTGCATGCAATTATGCATAATTAATTGTTATTATTAGTAAGTACATGTAACATGTGTAACAATGTTACCTTAAAATAAAGTGTTACTGAATATTCCGATATTAATGATCTCTCTCTCTCTTCCTCTCTCTGTCTATATATAAATGTGTGTGTGTGTGTGTGTGTGTGTGTGTGTGTGTGTGTGTGTGTGTGTGTGTGTGTGTGTGTGTGTGTGTGTGTGTGTGTGTGTGTGTGTGTGTGTGTGTGTGTGTGTGTGTGTGTGTGTGTGTGTGTGTGTGTGTGTGTGTGAGTGTGTGTGTGTGCGTGTATAACAATTTTAAGACAAATCTATACACATGCACACCCGCACAGTCTGAGAGAGTCATTTAAGATAATACTTTCCTTTAGGGTTCTGCCGTACATGATGGACTATAACCAGAATCTGCCTGGAATGATCATATTTGATCTGACACATAAAACTGTGTATAAAAATACTCATGCATACATTGTGTGGTGCTTCTGCTGACCTCTCACATTGATAAGAACTAGATACTGTATGAAAGCTGAGAGGTCTGTCTGTAGTCTTGCAGATTATATTCTGGTTAATCCTTAAAGATGAATATGTTGCCCTTTTGACCTTGCTGCTTCAAATCACTTTGCAGCATTTATAGCTGAAAATCAATATGTCCTCATAAAACTGGAGCACGATTGTGAGTCTGGCTTGTCCTATGTGGAACAATTAAAATCGAGAACACATAGCAATTCAAATGGAATAGTTTTCCCTGCTGGAATAAGTTATTGTTAAACCATCATTAAATAGATGCCAAATAACATCTCTCTGTAATGCTCTACAGGGTCACGTTTTATATGTTATTCTAATATTGGCTATGTCCTAAAGGGCTGTTAAACTGTCTCCCACAGTCAGACACTGAGTTCTGGGATAAAATGCAGGCAGAGTGGGAGGAGCTGGCACGGAGGAACTGGTTGGAGGACGCTGACAGTGAAGGCCTGGTTCCACTCAACTTCTCACCCACTGAGAAGGTATTCTCAACCAATCAGAATGCTCAGCATCAATGGTTCTCCACCACGGGCTGGGCCCCCCGATAGCCAATTCCAAGAGGATCTCAGGATGACTTAAAGTATTTCAAATAATGAATGATTCATGTTTTAAAAATAATCAAATTTTAAACATCCCCTGTGGTGGTAAATCAAGTTTTTTTATGTTTACATGTCTATATGCCATTTCTTAATATGCTTAAAGACCAACCATGTGCAAATTCTTCATTCAACACCATTGCCGAGTATTTTCTTCTTAAAACTAAGGTGTACGAAAGATGGTGTCAAAAACGCAAAACCACCCCTGTTTCCTACATCACAAAGATTTAACCAATCCTGTCAACGTGCGAGGCAGGGCTTTTGATATCTGGTCAAAGGTTTTTATAATAAATAGAGCTTTTTAGATGGATGCTGAGGCTTTTTAGGTTGGGTAGAATCTGCAATCTCTGACCTAATTCGTTTGCTTGCTTCCATGGCTGCAATATACTGTGTCTTCCGCCAACTGGCAGCCCAGGGTACCAAAATACGATTGAATAAATTGGCGGAATCTAACAGACCACAACAAAAACGGACATTCCGACATGGAACGCACATTTCAAAGTAGAATAACTGGTTGTAGGATTGTTTTTCAGAGAAACGAGTAAGTGAACTTAGCATGTTTCCTAAATATCTGCAAACATATGCTATATTTTTGATTTAGTGTAGTCAAAAAATTACATACAACACCTTTAACCAACAGAAACCACTATATTCATTGTTAACCGATCAAAGGCGCTGTTCCACACCACCGCATGAATGTATTTTAATAATCACTGCCTTCTGTATTGCATTTTCTATGATGGCAGAACTGATACAGTGGTAGATTATCACTTCAAAGGTTATAGACTCCAGATGCTGGATAATGCAGTCTTTCATCTAAAATTCTCTCTTATGTTTCATCATTGTGTGCTTCCAAACAGATAGAGAATGTTCAGATACAGCCAAAAACTACTGTTCTACCTATGCTACAGCTCTTTTAGTGATACAGCCTCCAGTTGCTAGGGCATTTCTATGCAGTTGTTATGGTGTTTCGGGTGGTTGATGGACAGCGATTCTGCTATTTAGTCACTAGGGTGTTCTGGGTGGTTGCTAGAAGTTTGTAAGATTATTCCTAAATGGAGTTGTTTGTAAGATTATTCCTAAGTGCAGTTGTTGAAAAACTCTTACGACCTTATTCTTAACATCCTTTTTTTTTTTTTTTTTTTTTATATATAAGAGAATGGCAGGGTTTAGTTGTGTTTTTCTAATTGTGTGGTGGTTTTTGCCAAAAACACACTCAAGGCTGTCTTTTTGTGTTGCTTGAAGATTACTGTAATAATCATGATATTTGTTCACACTATTTTCATTTCAGCTGGCTTGATGGGAGTTGAACACCCAGTGTTAATTTTTTTTTTAATGTGATGTTTAGTATTTTAAATAGTTATTTTTAAAGAGCTTGTGGCAAGATGAAGCGATCTGTTGTTGCATTCATTTGAGTCTTATATTATTTGAGTTTATTGTGTTTATTGTTGTCCTGGATGGTGTGAATGTTGGGCATATGGCTTTGGAGTGGATCATTTGAAGTGTGAGTTCCTGTGCCCTTTTCTTCTCCCCACGCCTCTGATTAGTCCGACTGTGCATTCCACTGCAATATTAAAGACCTCAGCATGATCTAATTATCAACACACCACCATCTACCTCTCCAGATTTATGAAATGCTTACAATAAGTCCTGCTCTCAAGTATTCTACTGAAATAATTATATTTACTCTTGATTGGTTTCTTTAAGCTTGTTTTTTGGTCCTGTTGCTTGCAGGGTTACTACTTTCATACCAGTAACCCTTTCAAAGACTACACCAATGCCTTTGAACAGGGGCTGCAGAAATGCAGGGATGGGGATCTGAATAGTGCTGTACTACTACTGGAGGTGGCCATCTTACAAGACCCTCAAGACTCAGAGGTAAAAGACTCCAAAAGAAGTACAGCCGATTTATTGAGCATTTATGTGTGTGTGTGTGTTACCTTCCTTAGTTACACATTAACTGTTTTCCAAAAATTTAGCAAGTGGCCTACATAGCATTTTAGCGTGTGAAGTCTTGAAGGCTCTTCAGTAAAGTACTACTTTACATCAAAGTCAAAATCAAAGGCAGCTTGGCATCTTTTGCTATTAAGGCAATCCCAGAATGCATTACACAGAGAAAAAATGTGAAAAAACAAAAAACAAAACGATGGTTGACTATTCATCTTTTGCAATTAAGGCAATCCCTGCATTACATGCATTACACAGAGCAAAAGGGGAAAAATTATTTATTTATTTATTTTTTACGGTTTTCACAGAAATATTAAGCAGCATGTAGAATCATATAGAATGATTTCTTTAGGATCATTTGACTGAATACTGGAGGAATGGCTGCTGAAAATTCAGCTTATCCATCATATTAATAAATTACATTTTAAAATATATATTAAAAAAAAAAAGTCATTTTAAGTAAGTAAGAATTGTCCATACGCTGTTGAATTATTAGAAAGTAATGCACACCCAAGGCGGTAATGTGGCCACAATGCAGAGCACCACAACAAAAGAATCATGTAAAGCCCAGTAAACCATGAGATTATTATTTGTGACATTAGAACAAAATTAGTGCAGTCAAATGATTAATCGCGATTAATCACATACAAAATTAAAGTTTTTGTTTGCATAATATATGTGTGTTTTCTGTGTATACTTATTATGTATATGTAAATACACACATACAGTATATATTTTGAAAATATTTATATGTATTTACGTCTATTTATATTCATATAGTTTATATTATAAATAAATATATTTAATATATAAACATAACATTTCTTTCTGAAATATATACATGCATGTGTGTGTATTTATATATACATAATAAATATACACAGTACACACACATATATTATGGAAACAAACACTTTTATTTGAATGAATCGTTTGACAGCACTAAACAAAATATATGGATATAATAATATATGTATAAAACTAGAAGCTTCTCTGCATGTTTGTTTCTGTCCCTAGTGAGAAAAAAATACAAACATGTATTTCATGTATTTTATCCTATTGTTTAATATATTTATTTGCTTGGTCAGTATCTTTGTGGGTTTTGGTTCAAGGACCTTTGAAATATCTGAAATCATTTGGCGAAGTGATATTAAACTGTAATGTAGTCAAGACCTGCCTGAACCTCCTTTAGCCATGCGTTTCCCTGAACATTCATTAGCAAATCAGAATCAAGCGTTTAACTGCCCTGTAGTATAAACTGTAACAATGTTACACAATATAATTGTTATTACTGTATTTTTATTAAATAATTGCAGCTAGTGAGCAAGAGAGTTCTTTCAAAAACATAACCGATTCCAAACATTTGAATAGTAATATATATAGAAGATTGGGGTGACCAACTGTTGTAAAAGTTTAAGAATTTTATATTTAGAGCATTCCAGATCCGTCACTTTTGAGGTTCCATCTGTGAATGCTGCTGTAATCAGTAGACATCAAGGCAGCCCTAGAATCATGCAACAGAATCATGTCCTATTTTCAACTCCATTTACCCAGAATGTTTTATCACCTCACAAACAAAAAACAGATTAGTAACTGACTTAATATTTTCAGTGCCCAAAGCAAGCATATGTGATTGCCAGCGCAAATCCATTTTCTTCTTCACCATCCCCTGCTATATCTCATTATTGCCCAGTCAGCACCATCAAATATTTAATAAAATTTCCCATGCTTTATGAGCCAAGGCGATGCCAGACAGATGGCGTAAACCTCTGGGATGGCTTATGAATATGATCCTGTTTAACTTGAATCAAAACCATATTAAATTCCACTGCCATCGCCCCCAGAGTGACATACCATTAAATGCACTGGCCAAGCACATAAAGAGAGGGAACAACAATATGTTTTAGAAAACCAGCAGCCCCACTAATTGAACACTATATATATCAGCCTATATACTGTATATGTTCAAGTCTTTTTATTTCTGTTTTGCTCTAATCATTTTGTGATTTGTTTCAACCAAGAGTGCATTTTTTCCCTCTACAAAGGCTTGGCAGGTTTTGGGTACCACACAAGCAGAGAATGAGAATGAGCAGGCAGCCATTGTTTGTCTTCAGAGGTGAGTAGACAATAATGGGGGTTTTGTGATTTATGCAGAGCTAAAAGTCTTATATTTGCAAACATGTTACATGAAGAGAGCTTTTGCATAATTAGTGGTAACAAATCGAATTGCAAAATCAGTTATTGTTTTCTGAACACTTTTTTGCTTTTTTTGGACAAACAGATACTGTAGTCCCACCCACCCCAAACTCAGCAACTCACTTTATTTTGCCATGTTCTGTCTGTCTGTCTTTGTTCAAATAGATGTTTGGAACTGCACCCAAACAATCTGAAGGCCCTGATGGCCCTGGCAGTGAGCCTAACCAACACAGGACAGCAGCCGGAAGCCTGTGAGGCTCTCCACCGCTGGATCAGATACAACCCCAGATACAGACATCTACTCCAGGACCGCAGCCCTCTAGACGGTTCCCCATTGCCTCGCCGCAGAGGGTCCTCCATATCCCCCATCTCCACTCTCGGATGGTATGATTCACATTCACTCACGTGAATTATTGTCCACATACTGCATATATAAAGCATATGTATGTGGTTTGCTTTTTGAGTTTTAATAAAGGTGGGAGTAGTGTGACATAGTGGATAAAACTACTAACTGAAAGATTGTAAGTTAAAATTAGGAGAAGGTGATATGACCAAAGTCTTATATAACAATTCATTTATTTTTTTGCTAGAAATAAGGCTGTTATGATACCAGATTTTTAGATGGTTAAATTTCACAGTTCTTGTTACCAGTTTCAATAACAGTTTTAATACTGCAGCAAATATATTAGACTAACTAAACAATCAGTAGTAAAATAAGAACAAAGATACAAATGACAAGCATTATAACAAATACATACAACAGAACACAGATGTAAATGTAATAAACAGCGCTTTACATTTTAGTAGTATTCAAGCGCGATATACTACAGAAATTTAATAATCAATAAAACACTACATAGTTGTCATTGTATGAATTCATTTTTTATCCTTATTGAAGCTATGAAAATTATTCAGTCAAGAGCAATGTGTGATTTTCTCTTCTTTTGTTGTTTGATTAACAGTAATGGCACAGACAGCAGCAGGTATAGTATATTAGGCTGCTGTCACTTCAAGACTTAATGCATGGATATAATATATTGATAAACATTTCTACCATGTGTTTAAGTTCACTTAACAATATAACCTAACCAACTGTGTTTGTGTGAATACTTGCCATTTTGACATGATAATGTGTTCATTTGCCCGTTTAGGAAACCCACTTGTCAGACAGTGTGCAATTGCCAAATTGAGTTCTCTTTTAAGCAAGTCGCACTCTTCATTTTCTCATTCTTGTTTCTGTTGCTCTGACATGTTGATAACTTTAAGCAGTCATGCCTGCACAGATACCGTGATAGAAACTATATAGCAAAATCAATATTGATTGACAATTTATATTATCGCCACAATATATATCCTCATATCACCCAGCCTAGTTTTCACTTTTGTTCAGTGTTTTGCTAATGGTGTTGTGTGTGTGTGTGTGTGTGTGTGTGTGTGTGTGTGTGTATGCAGCTCTCAGCTGGTGGAGGTGTTGGAGCTCTATCAGGAAGCAGTGCAGCAGAACGCTGAAGGAGTGGACCCTGATCTCCAGACAGGCCTTGGTGTGCTCTTCAACCTCAGCTCAGAGTTTGACAAAGCTGTCGATGCCTTTAATGCTGCACTTTCTGTCCGACCTGAGGTGAGCCAGAAGGTCCTATTTATCACTATTTTAAAAGCTACAGATCTATTAGTTTCACGGGGCTGTCGAAAAGCACTGTGGGCATTGTAAGCTTGTTAAAAAATGATCACAGCTAGCTGTTATGCACATTGATTTAGTAGTTCATGCATACAAACCATTGATTTGGGGGCAGGGTTGTTATAAATTTAAACAGAAATATTTTCAATATCAAAACAGTAATCCTAACCCTAACAGTTAGTATCTTGTGTGGCCATCAGCTGCTTTACGTACTACAGTGCATCTCATCCTCATGGACTGCACCAGATTTGCCAGTTATTGCTGTGAGCTGTTACCACATTTTTATTTGAAGGCAAGTTTATTTGCAAGTTTTTGAACACGTCTGGGGGACACATGCTTACACATGGTTTGATGCTGCAAGGACGATCAGCTGTCCTTCCAGTCTCCCCGTAGTACTGTTTTAGGCTTTCCAATAAAGGTCTGTAAATCTTATTTGGATTTTACAAAATTATTTTTAAAATACAGTATCCTGAGAAAGGGGCTTCAGCAGTATAAATGCACAGGATAATGATAAACTAAACTAGACACAGGTGAGGAACATAATTAGTAACCAAAGAAAAAAAATTAGAACATACTTAGAAACCATGACAACCAAGGAAACAGGAACTAAACACAGGAGGATTTTCCTCTTTGCTTCAGCTTTTAATTAGCAAATTACATTTTTGAAGCATTTTGGGTTTCATTTTTAATCTTGTTATATTATGGTATTTTTCTTGTTTTATGTGAAGTAATGCTTTTCTGTTGTGAAATACTTTGAGCTGCATTGTATGAATACTTTGTATGAAAGGTTAAATAAAGTTTAAATATAATATAATATAATTATTTATGCCCAGTCTTTATAATGCAGAATAAAACAATACTGTAGAATTCTGAAAATGTTAGCTTTCTTATGTTTTAATTCCATTTTTTAAACATTTGTTTTTCTCTGAAACTTTCCATAGACTCAGATGAAAAACCCCTGTCCTTGATTGTCCTTTACTCTGGCAACTCTGTGTTTTTGTAGGACTATCTGCTGTGGAATCGGCTCGGGGCCACGCTGGCAAATGGGGACCGCAGTGAGGAGGCAGTGGAGGCCTACACCAGAGCTCTAGAGCTCCAGCCAGGCTTCATCCGTTCGAGATACAACCTCGGCATCAGCTGCATCAACCTAGGGGCACATCGGTAATGAACCGAACCACTGAGCATGGGTTGATGGGAAAGAACTGTTTGTCTCCTTAGTGTGGATATAAATAGGCTAAAGCAGAAGGCTGAAAAAAACTTTCAATTTCGATGTTAGCATGTTTGACCTCTCTCTTTTCTCTTGCAGGGAGGCAGTGAACAACTTCCTGACAGCTCTGCACCAGCAAAGAAAGAGCAGGAGTCATCAGGTGATGTCCAGCAACATCTGGGCAGCTCTGCGGATTGCCCTCTCCCTCATGAACCAACCAGAGCTTTTCCAGGCAGCCAGTGTGGGAGATCTGGACCTCCTAATGAGGGCCTTCAACATGGACATGTGATTAAACTTGGACTTGTGATATCTATCATTCACGTACAGTAGGCACAAAGTTAGGCTCAAATGACTATGGGATGTCAATTGATATGCAAAGTATGCACAGCTAATTTTGTTTGTTGTGTATATTTGGGCAGCCTTTGCCTTCTTCAGAGGCCACTGAAGAGGGTGTTTATATTGCATAGAGCACAAACAGAATAGGTAAATGATGGGTTTTGAAAGTAGATGAATAAATGTCAAAGAGAGTGAGAGCAAAAGCACTTTTTTTCTTGATGTTAGTTATATTTTACTGTAATATTTTTAAGGTTATCTAAAAACTTTGTATACTTGAGAAAAATGAACCAAACCTCATTGGGGAATATAGGAGGAATTTTGTTTAGTTTGTGGATTAGAACTGAATATTAATCCTTTCAAAAACCTAGCTATTTATTATGGCCAGTTCTGAAGAACCTTTGTTCAACTTTTGTGTTTTTAATGTTCAGCTTTCAATGGTAATCTATGTGTCTCACCACAAGGTGGCACTGTTGTTTAGCTGATAAAAATGTAGCCATATATAAAGTCAGTTAATCCTCTATTAAACACAGTGAGGCCAAATGCAGTGTGAGGGAATAATGCTAGCTGAATTTCACTTTAGGAAAACAACACCCTTTCAAGGTGATCTGTGCCCAGGTGTGCGAGCAGGGCGTGTTCCCTGGGCCATCTGTCTTCCAGCAAGCCCCTTTTAATGCCGCGTGCTCCAGGGCATTCTGGATCAGGGCTCGGTGGGGAGCAACTTCAAAAACTCTGCATGAAAGGTCACAGCAAAAGCACTAGTGTTGAAAGTGAGTGAGTTTATGTAAGACTGTTAGCCCAAATGTTTAAAAGGACTAAATACATTCACAAATCTATAAACAACATTTGGTCATATATTTCAGTTGTTTGGCCTGGTAAGTTTGAAGTGCATTTCATGTGTCTCAAATCGCTTCAGCCTATAGAGATATGTCTGTTTATAGCAAAGAAGCCATGTGCTAGAACAGTTATGATTTCAGCTCCTTTATATACTAATAGGCTGGATATTTTCTTTGAAGACATAACTATGCAAACCAGCATTGCTGTTTTGTTTGTTTGTTTTGTTTTGGCTAAAATTACCAAAAATCTTTTGTCTTTATAATTTTGCCACTATGCATTATTAGTAAAGTTGGTGTAACAGGAGTTAGCTGAGATAATTGAAGGGCATTGAATGAGACACAGTGTTTAAAGACATAAATAGCATTAATAATCTTAAAAATGTGGGGCAAAGACAGATAAAGTTGCTTCATTAGATTGCACCTTCAATTTAAATATTACAAATGATTTGGGAAATCTGATGATTGCATGTATGATACACAAAACAGATTTCCCTCTCTTTATGATCCCATATTTTAACTTTAAAGTGAATGTAACTACTATTAATATACATTTTTTGACAGACCAAAAATCCAACACAAACATACTATATATGACAATATTTCAAATCATATGCCATGTATGAGCACAGTATGCGGGCATTGATGACACTTGTCCTGTAGTAAATCACACTAGTTTTGCTATGACCAGAGCTGTTACGAAACTATGAATATAATTACTGACTAAAATTGTAGAATAGCTGAAGGAGATGTATTTATTTATTTATTTGTAAAATAGATTATTTAATGGAATGAACAGTCATAAAATGTATGCATGTCTCTTTCAATCTCTCCTACATTAACATGTAATATAATCAAGATGCATTTATAACCAATTTATTAAAGCTGTATTTTAGAAGATCTGAAATATGATTATGTCTCTTTGTTTCATTTCAAAATTAAGGGCAGATGGTGATCCCTGACCTTTAAATGATTTAGAAATGGTGTTACCGGAGCACCCCCAACAGGCACATACTGAACACTGCTTTCCTTCTGTCTGAAGCAATGCAGTGGTACAAATGTAACCTTTAACCCATTATATTATATTATACACAAATTAAGACATAACCTTGGATGGCCTTAAATACTCTAAGCATTATATTTGATATGGGTTATCCGAGATTTTTTTTTCCCACAAGTTGAAATTTTAGACACCTTACATCAACAAGTCTCTGAAAATAAAGCTGTGTGGTTGAAAGGGAGAATGGCTCAAATTAGCTTATGGATTTCTTTAGGATTTTAGGGAACAGCGAGGATGTGAGGTGGATGACTTAGCAGGTTCATGTTTCATGACCTGTCATATCACCCTCAGATATATAGTGACTCAAAATACTTCCTTTGTAACTGGAATCCCTTTAGTGCTGTCAGTACCTTTGGATGGATACAGTATGTGTGTGGAAATTCTCAGCCCTTAATTTGACTTTTGACTATCAAGGCTGATTTGCTTTTGTGATATTTGAGCCATTTTCAATGAGCAGTTTTCTAACTAATATCAAATGCGATACATAAATGCAAATATGATGTTCATCTAGTGCAGCAAGATGTGTTAAATCAAGCTAGTGGGCATGTTTTAGTCAGCAAATATATTGAATATAAACATAATTAACAGCAAGCGATTCAATGAAGCACTTGAAATGAAAGTGTTGACAATGCACTACATGGAAAAGCTTTCCATTTTAATAAATTATTGACAGGCCTTTATTACGTAGGGATCCCGCATTCAGGAATCATTGCAGCTTTTGTGCGTACATGGATAATGTGAACAATTGGTAAATAATTAAATGCACAGGACAGTCCTTATTGTTCTATTTAACACATTCTCAGTTGTGACACTGACCAACTGAACAGACAGTGACATCTACTGTCTCTTTAAGACCTCATCTTCCCACTTTCACTATTCAGCCTCCCCCATCCAGCCCCACCTTGTCACCAGCAGCTCTCAGTGTAGACGTGCTGGCTGTTAACTAAAGTCCCCACTGCTTATCCCGGTGGCAGTGCTCCCATCAGCACATACTCTACAGAGGGAGCCGGGTGCTTCCACTGACTGATCTCCCACCGGTGGACTTCAGCATACTAGGTAATTCTAAATGTCACTTAATACTGGTTTTGCAACTTAATTACTCCTATATTTGAGTGCTGTAGACAGGGTTTATAGATCAGAAGGAGTGAGACGATGAAGTAGTGATTGTGTAGTTTGCATTCGTTAACCCATGGCATGCCACAGATGGCTTCATTCGTGTCACTACTGCCTAATGCATATTTGTATATTGACCATAAATATTATATGATAATTGCATTCAAACTTTAATTCCAAATAACTTTTTATTTATAATATTTATTATTCTTATTCGTGTATTTATTTATTATGAACCAATTGCCTCTGAAATAAAACTCACTCTGAGAAGCGGAAAATTGGCAACCACCCAATGTACCCTGTGGCTTTAAATAAGTGGGAAGCTTTTGAATATTCTGTGACAAAGTACAAATAAAAACCCTTTGCTGTACAACTAATATCATTGATCAGCATGTTTTTTATAATTACTGAATGTAGTAGATTATAGATTAACACAATCATGTATATACTTTTTTAAAATTTCTATTCTCATGTCTATTCTCAAAGATTTTTTCTTTTAGGTCTGCATACGTATTGTTACTAATCAAATGCCTTTGACACTGTATCCACATGTATCAAACTACTTCAGTCATTTTTATAATTGAGGAAGATGATAGCCAGAACCATTTCAAGCGCGGGTGACTCGAGTAGGTAGGCGTAGACACATGTCAAACTATTTTGATAAAAAACACATTGGCTTCATTATAATATACTATATAAAGTAATAAGAGACATAATATACTCATAATATACTCAAGGACACTGAATATCTTCTGTTAAAAAAAACACTAAAATAATTCATTTCCCCCCTTCATCCAATTGTTGCCATGCTCTCAATGTCAGTATGGGTGTGGTAAACGCTCTGTGAAACTAGTAAATTTGGCGCATGGGTCCTTGTTTTTGGATATAAATAATACGAAATGAGTGCGTTAATGTTTTAAAATAAAGAATCTGCTCACCCTTACAGGTGGTAGGAGGATTTTGTAGTGTTGTTACATCAGGTAATGTGTCAATGTTTGTGTGGCGGTCTGAAGTAACTGACATGATACACTCACCGTTTGCTAGCCACTTTGCTAACCAAAACTAACCAAATCATAATATAACTCTGTGATTAACTTGACGGATGACAAATCTGCAAGTTAATTCTTAAGAAAGGTTATTTTATAAAAAAAATTCGCGTAAATGGTGTCTTATAGGGAGGTTTCTGTTTAGTGCAACATGTGGTATTGAATCTGTCAAAACAGTTCGCTAAATTACCTTGAAATAATGTGATATGTAACGTAATGCTGATGTTAACATTACATTTAATCGCTTTAAACTCGATGAACAACACGAATGTAACAATTAACGGGCAAAATGGCCGTTTCTGTGAAGATATTTTATTTACAACGGATTGTTTTCGCGTTTATCGCGACTGGTTTAACAGGCTGCGAGTGTCACAGCAGGTTTAATAAGGGATTAACACATCTGGATTATGGAGGATTTATCAGAATATCCGATGTACATATTCAATTTTGAATTAAAATGTCAATCCAGCTAGTTCGAGCATATTAAATATTTTTCTTCCCACTCCATTATTATAATCAACCTGAGCTTTTTGTGTATGTTATTCCTAATACTATGTCCCAGTTAATGTGTAAAGTGTTAGATTATGGAAAGTTTTTTGCTTAAAATGCAGTGATCAATGCTTACTTTTCCTGTAATTTGGTTTACTCGGGTTGGGACCAGCAGTCTTCCTGTTTTTAGCAGCATTGCTTGCAGTCATGCTACTGTGCTTCCCTAAAAGAATTTATGCTGAAATGTAGATTTCACAGAGGTCAGGGTAAACCTCAGTGATCTCAAGGGGTATTCCCATATTGTGTCAAACCACCAATGTGACAGGTCACTCTGCATTTTATTCAGTTACTCTTTTTGCTTTTAGGCTGAAATAAGACTGTAAACTATAGGTAAGGTTAATTGAGTCATGCAAAACATGGCAATATTAAAACGCAAAATCTGAAAAAGCTTAGATTTTTTAAAGCTATGCTCAGTTCTAAAATTGTGTGTGAAATCATAATTAAAATATTTCTAAAAGTTTTAATGAAAAGATGTGAGGTCCCTTTATTTGCATTTTGTATTGATATTACTTGCACTAACTGATAAATTTGCAGCCTTTAAGCGAGTATCATACTGCATATAACCTCCTTATTGGGGTGGTGTTAGCTAAATTTTAGGGAAATCAACTAGTAGGCAGTGCCAAGCAGTGCTACCCCTCATTAAACAAAGGAGCACAGCGTGCCCAGCTCTCAGTTGGCAGTGCAATAGCTGGAGTGTTTGTTCCTCTACTGAATTATATGATACAGTTCCTAGTTTTATTCAGTCTAGTAAAAACATTGATGCTACTGGAGCACTTTCTGTGTTCTTCACAAACTATCCATTGGGGCTGTCTTACTAGGTCTGTGGGACCTCTGACAATCAAATGAATATATGGAAATTGTTTGCGTGAGTGGCTTGAATTATTAATCCAGCCTGAGTGCTCTGTTAATAAGCAGTCCTTTATTGACTTCTTAATGTGACTTGGTGCTTGTGTGTGCATTGCAGGTCTTCGTCAGTATTATCAAAGTTGGGAAAGGAGTGAAACGCTTGCAGGACCATGAGTGAGCTGGAGCAGTTGCGGCAGGAGGCAGAGCAGCTGCGCAATCAGATCAGAGTAAGAACTGATGCCCTTTCTGGTCAGCTCAAAGGATTTTGCCACTCCTTCAGTTAAATCTTTTGGCTCATTTTACATTGGTTCTTTCAAGTCATGTTGGAAAGATTGTATTTGAGTTGGTTGCACATGAACACCACCACAAATTCCTGATTAATAGAGGGAAACTCAAAATTTTCGTCAAGTCCTCAGTTTGAGGCGGGGGCTTGTCAGTGAGAAAACATGTTGGATGCAATGGATGCAGATGCTGTATTGACTGCAAATTTGTTGAAATGAATGCATTTTTTGTCTTTAAAACTATATATGTTGCATCTTTAAAATACGATAGTATTGTACAATTACATTAAAATATATTAAATATATTCAGTTTACAGCACTTTCATAACTTGAATAAAAACAGAAAAAATGTTAACATACCGATACACATTCTTTACCAAAGTGACTTTAACGTGCCTTACGTTGTAATTACGACTTGCCAGCGTGTGAATATAAGCAGTGGCGGCTCGTGGGTTTTAAAATAGAGGAGGCACACTAATTGTATTGGTCTGGGATCCCTGCCGATTATTATTATTATTATTATTATTATTTGCTTAACCACTTTAAAATGAAGTGTTTGTCCGAACTCAACTGGTTTTGCGAGAGAATGCAAAGTTTCTCGAGGGAACGCAAAAGTTTTGAAGGAGCGCAAAAAAATTTCATTTTTTTTTCCTCTCACCCCAAAATTTTCCACTCACCCCGATTTTTTTTCACCACCATGTCCCTTTAGGGGCTCCATGCAATTGGCACAGAGGAATGATATTGTTGAAATGCCTTTCAAAATGATTATTTTTCCATCTGTTAAACCCTGATTCTGATTGGCTGTCAGTGTTTTATCATTTAACAGCTGGAAAAAAATCATTTTGAAAGGCATTCCAACGATATCATTCCCCTGTGCCAATTACCATTATAGTTGTAATGTGGCTATGCTATTCTTTTATATTTTGAACGATTTTTAAAACTATATCTTTGCTGTTATCTTTATAGTTCTCATCCTTGGTGTGAACGGGCCTCAAATGCTTCTAAAT